GGAGGAGTATTCTTTGATAAGTGTTTCACCATCGATTCATACTTGGCTAAAAATCCTACACCAGGCCACGATAACCCGAGAGCAAAACGCTGATAGATCGATGTAACGTAAGGAGCTATCTGAAAGGAAAATTATAACTCACACAAATGATTAGATACCTTAGAATTAACTGAGAGGCGAAGGCAGATGGAGGGCATGCAGTGACGCAACGGGCTATGGCACGTCACGCCTATTTGTCTCTGCCACGTTTTTCCGAGGCTTACAACGAGTATGTACAGTCTTGTTCCTTGTAGATGATGGGCGTGTCAGCGCGGCTGACTTTGGCGCGCCACCAGCCCGTTCTCCATCAGTTGTTGAAGGTGCATGTAGAAAGAAAAAAGGAAAAGGAATGGCTGGCGCCGCGCCAGATCCATCCTCCTGACACGCCCCATCACCCCGCAGCGAACAAGACTGTACGCCACCACTTTATTTGATGAGAGCGAGCAGATATGACAGCATCATCGCGCCCCCTTCTCCACCCCAGCTACCTATATTCCATTCAATGGTGACTCGATGAAAATTTTGATGTTCCTGATCTTTTGAAGTGATTTTACTTTCCTCAGTCGTTGCATGTTTCGACCATTTTCATAACAACAGAACAATATATAACTAGTTTGAGCCAGACCTACCCAATGTAGTACTGTGCGGTAGATGAACAGATAATGAAGAGAGGATGACACGGCCAGACGACGTTGAAGTCGGACAAATAAAGCGGATACAAGAACAGTATCATCGTCAAGTGGAGATCCTGAGAAATTCTAAACACAGTGAATTGGATGAAGGTCATTTATGGTCTCTGAAAGAAGCCTCTGGAAGGGGCCCCTACCACCTCCTATACATAACCCTATTAAATAAAAGTAACCCAAAGTCGTCTCCACAATAAAGCTTTTAGCAATCCGATCCAGCAACACCACACTACTCATCCCTCAGTGCATATGAACAACAGGTGCAGTAAGGTGAGGACTCCACAGTAGTCTAAAGACAAAGTGGGCGCAGTTCGGCGACGGGGGGGGGCATTTTGCACTTTCATTGCTTCACTAGTTCCGGTTTACAAGTCTCACTCTGGTGAAACCTGTGAACTCTTGTGAAGCTGGAGCAAGGTCGTCAAGCCATCATGGTAAAACCTGTCAGCTCAGAAAGGCTGTCTAGATAGGTCGACACGTCGATGGGAAGCAGCATTGTTCATTGCTAAAAAGTGGCAAAATGCTCGCTCCCCCCTCTAAGTATATCATTCTACTTCTCCGTAGAACCTGTGTCCTTCGCATCGTGCTGTTGAATGGGTGGATTCAGAAGCGCTAGTTCGTGCGTTATTTTCTCAGTCAGTTAAGAGCACTTGAACTGGAGTCGATGTGTTACTCGGCTGCCATCTAAATGCGCGCGCCGGCACTGTCCACCGGCGCTTAATCCACTATGCCTAACCATCGGCCTTTAATTACGCACTGCTTTGTCTATATACTTGCTCATCTTCGCATTTTTCTCTTAACTCTTAATCTAGCGAGGTGTTCGCCGTGAAGACTGGTACTGCACGCAAGTGCTGCAGTCAATTGGAGATTTTGCGTGGGTGGGGTTTATGAAGTGCGGGCACCTGGGAATCTACTGATCATTCCATTTTGCTTTCATTCCTGCTCCGTTTCTGGGCGGTTGTTAGAATAGTGCAGTCGACTATTGCAGATGCGGCTCACTCACCTCGCATATTGCAAGGATGACCATGGAAGTGCACCGTTTGTCTTTAGAAACAATTTGCATGGCCAAACTATAGATGTACTGTGTTTCAAACCAAGCACAGAAAACTAGTACTGACGCAAATCTTACCACGCAGAAATTGCATAAGCACAGTTTCTATAGTTACGAGAGTTCCGCTGCGACCACATCCATCCAAGCATTGAACTATTGTTGGACTTTTTTGTAGGCGAGCCCTAAACTAGACAAGGTATCCTGTTTTCATAATAGTCTTGAATAATAAACATTACTCTCCTAATAGGAAGTATCCCAAGTAGCGCACAGGGGTTAAAGGTTGGATTGACTGTCGTTAGTATCGTTTCAAAATATTTCCCAGTTTCTTTCGTCTTCACATCTCTTGCTCATCGACGTGAAGATATGTAGATCCATTAACCACGTAAATCGAGATGCTGAGTGATCTGGAGGAGTTGTCCGCAAAATGGGCTGCGGATGCGGGACGGAGGGTGGTAGCGAGTATGGCTCTCACTCCCCAATACCAGTAAGACTTTGACAGCTATGCCATTCAACCACCTCTCCTTGATTTACCTCCGATTCCAAACCCCATGTGTTAATACTATTAGGTTGTCCGGAAAGTTTTGAGAAAATTTCACACTTTTAGTTTGAAGAAGTGTAGCAAGCGAATGCCCCAACAGAACGTCATATATCAAGTGCTATGAGAAAGAGAAATGTTTGTAGATCAATACTAATGCTGGTTGTTATTATTCTCCATTGGTATGATTTGACATTACCTGAAAAATGTACGAGCGCGCACGACTCCCAACGCCTTTTACTTCATCTTCACCGTTCTGGCTCCTCTATCGGTCAAATCGGGAATGAGGAACCGTCTCCGATACTGCATGAAATGCGCTTCAAATTATATTATCTATACTAGGAGATCAATCGGTCTCTTCCATGGAAGTTTAGCTTAGATGTTGCGTACGCCCCTCATTCTCAGTACTCGCTTAGTTCTAGCTCCCACGAAAGGTAATCCCCCCCCCCCGAAAAGGAAAGGGACATAGGATGGACAGCATTTGAACTGCTATCTCTTATTGATATTGATAAGTGTTAAATGAGCTGGTTGAGATTTCTCAGAACTTTCCGGACACCCTAATAACAGTGTTATTGCAGCTAGCTGTAAGTAACGGAACAACTAATCACTAACTTTCTAAGCACGCGGAACGGCCAGTGCACGTCACACATGTTCTGCCAGTCCCATTGCCAATGCTCCACATGCAATACATCAGCTGGGTTGTCATTATCGACAGGGACAACTTCCTAGAAACTTTAGGAAAATTTTTCAACCGTTTATAAAAATCGTTTTGTGGATTACCAGATGAGTGACGTTAAATAGAGGATCAACGGTACCATCCACACGCACGTTACGTACAATAAGCGAACCATATCTGCGCGATTCTCCTACTGACCTAAAATGCAAATAATAAGTCACTTGAACTGACAACAAATTGGCAATTCAAGCACTACTCGAATCTCATTGGAAGTCGTAATTCAGTTCGATTCCAAAGGCGGCGCCGTTCGGCTTGGAAGGGGTATTCTGCACGTTCGCTGGTTCATTTTGTTAGTTCCTGCCAAATTAGACGTCACACCGTCACAGATATAGACTTTTACTAGATGTAAACGAAGCTCCGTCAAAGCTTTACAGGAACTTACAGGTCCCCACAGAGGAATTTGGCAATGATCGATAAGCGCCAGCACACTG